ATTTAGAAAATAATATATAATAATTAAAAAAAATCGATTAAAAAATCTTAAAATTTTTTTTCCTAAAACTCATTTCATATAATTATTCTAATTTTCATATAAAAATAATTTTTAAAATCTTTATGAGTTTACACACATTATTCTAATTTACATATAATTATTCTAGTTTATATATGGATAAATATTATTTTTTTTACCCAAAAACAAATACCTTTGCTTATATCAAATATCATTTTTTTATATGAGTATTGTATTTATGTTATTTAAACACATTTTATCCGCATTTAACACGGCAAACATGAAAGAATATAAATTTTATTTGTTTTACATTTATTTTTTCCCACAGAATAATCTTAAAAATTTTCTCATTCTGCGTATTTTTTCTTTGCATTTCTTTTCTTACATCCCTTTAGTGATCTCATTATAAAAATAATAATAAATGATTTGATTTAAAAAATTAAATTAATATAAAGTTGTTAATTAAATAACTAATATTTTTTTCCTAAAGTGAAAGATAAAGTAGATGGGTAAAGTATACATTATAAATTTTCTAAAATTTCAATTTTTAATTAATGTTTATATTTTGTAATTTTACTTTAGACAATCAATTTGTTTAGATTTTATGTCTTTAACATAAACAAATCAGGTTGTATCAGAATTCATATTGTCTATTACATGTATTTTAAAAACAGATCCTAATAGTTCAAAAGTTCTCTTATTTAATTATTCTCTACAAATTTGAATGCTATAATCGATATTGGAACAATTTGTTTAAACTTTTAAAAAATGATTATAAATAATTATTTAACTCTTAAAAAATAAAAGTTGCTTACTTATAAAATACTCAATTTAGACAAACATTTAGAAAAATATTTATTTTGTTAAAAAGCTGTTTTAAAATTAATAAATAGACCCTTAATATATAGAGAGAAAAAACAACTTATTTTGGGCCAGTTTCTTATACATATTAAAAGAATATAATGAACTTCACATATGTTGTCAGTTTTTAATTATTTTGAAAACGGAATGATCTTTTCTATAAATTTCATTTTAAAAAATAATTTATTATAGTCACAATGGTCATTTTGGGTTAAAAATGTCCATTTAATTCAAGTTCAAAATTTAAAATTTAAATCTATATCTCATTGAACAAGTTTAAGCAAACAACTACCTAACTAAACCAATATCATCACATCTACACTATCTACAGGTTATACCTTATTGCAAAGAAGGAAAAAAAGGAATAGCACAGTACTATTAAAAAAAACCATAAACTTATTCTGTCTCTCACTTTTTTTTTTTTCAGAGGTTAAACATTTTTTTGGGAGATAGATGTTTTTATTTAGTGATATAGTTTGATTTGATATATCCTCTAACATTTAAATTAAAAAAAAAACTATTTGAATAAAAATATTTTTAGTAATTATTTAGTTAATAATAACATGAAAAAATTAAAAATCTAAAAGTTATACAGCAAATAAAAATAGAAAACTTATTGCAATCAAAAGCTTAAAATGAAACTACCTCGTAGATATCATCCGTATTTACAATATTGCAATGACTTTTAACTTTTAACTTCACAGTCACGATTATCTTCCAAGACTTCAACAAATCTCTAACACCACATGAGCACAACATCAAGAGTTTCTTCCTCCCATAATGCAGGTCTAGATCGACAGAGGCTTTGGGACCCAATAGTACAAATTAAAAAAGTATTAACTATTTTATAATACAACATAAATCCTATCCATGACACTAGCTAGAGATTAAAAAGAGCATAGGAAATGCAATTATAAAATAATAATAAATAAATAAATAAAAAGGGATGTTATATTAGGGGAGAAAAACACATTGGTTGCATAAATTCGTTGTCTTAAGCTTTCGCTTGTGCCTGCTCTTTAGATCAAGAGCATCGATCTATCACCTAGCATTAAACTATATATATACAACAACATAGGATCATTATTATATAAATAAATTTAATAACATACAAAAGTATGTTTAACTAAATCCATCCACACTCACTTTTTCGTTAGAGTGCATAAGAATGTGTGTGAATTAGTATTCAAACACATCTTAAATTAGATACACAATTAAAAGAACCCTCAAAAACTCTCACTGAAGAAAAAACACCTAAATTATTTGTTAGACAAATATTGAAAAAAGTTATTGTGCAAGATTATTGATCATGTTTAATATATAAGGGCAAATTTAAAATCAAAACAATTAAAATTTAAAATTTTTCATCTAAACACCGTCATAGACAAATATTGGTTGGCACAAATAATAACAATTTTTATTCCTTAACCAAATTATCCGAGATTCAAATATTTGTCTCTAGTATAGAATAAACAATGTGCACTCACGGTCTTCGATAATAAAAAAATTAGTCATTGCTCCCTGCAATGAATACTTCGTAACAGTGTCATGGTTACCCAAAGAAAACACAGCCAATGAGAAATTCTTGAGTTGCTTATAAAATTAGTATGTGAAATGCACCTTCATCAAAAGGGATAAAAGATAAAATGTTGAGAGTGTGTGATTGTGAGAGTAAACGTTATATGTAATATATACATTATAATAATTATATTATTATTATATACATATATTGTGAGAATATCACTACCAAAAAATTTATAAACTCTCACAAGGTTTTAGCTATAATAGTAATGACTCTTAAAATGAAAATAAATTAATCAAGTTTCCTCATGCATTTTTAAGACATGATTAAGGAAATATTTGATATTTTTAAATTATACTTTACAATTTTTAATTCAACACCTCAATCTTTTTACTTAACAAACAGGTTGTGTTAACATGTGTAACACTAAATATTTTTCATAAAGAAGATTGTTACGATGAATTGAATTTTCAATTGAATCAATAGGCGAATTTTCGTCTCAACAATAATCGGTAAATGAAAATAATAACATTAAACATATTGTTCAAACTCAAAAGTATGAACAACAATATGTCAATATATCAAAGACTACACATGGAGAAATGTTACTTAAAATAACACTAAGTTAGAATCAATTGTCTATTAGAAGACTGAAAATTTTGTATTGATTTTACTCTTCTCAAACCTCCTTTTTTATATTATTTTATATTAGTTGTATTTTTTTGAAAATCCATATTGTCATTTAAAACATAAAATCCCTTCAAATCTTATAAATTTTTATGATATAAATCTATCAAAACCCAAATAACAAAATCTTGATTATAAATCTATTAAATTTTTTTAATCTTTTAAGTTTTACCAAATTTTTTAAAATTTACAAGACTTTGTCATACTAAAGTAATCTTACAAAAAACAAATCTCAATTCAATACACTCTTTTTGTCTAGTCATGTTATTTTTTTTTTTCTGTTCATCTTCTTTCATCAATCTTAAACATAGACCAAAGGTAAAAATATTAAGATGAATGACTTTTCTTTTTTGTTAGATAAATTTCATTTTCACTTTCTTTCCTGCTTTCAATTATTCCCCTTTATGCTTCAATTTTTGTTCATCTAGAAGGTTTCCCCGCTCCTAACAATAACAATGATTTTATTTTCTTTGGCAATGATGATTTTGAACATAGTATCTTTAGCATCCAAATGCTGGAGCAGTTTGCATCGCATTAGGGTGCACAAGAATTTAATTTTTAAATTTTAAAAATCAAATCCATATCCAAATAAATGGATTGGATTTAAAATTCAAATCCATATTTATCAACAAAAAAAAAGTGGTTAAATTTTTTTGAAACTGTTCTAAAATTGATTTATGGTTCAAAACTGATTTTAAAACCATAATTCCATAAACTTGTTTTAAAACCAATTTAAAAATAAATAAATAAAGGGTATTCAAAAGAGACATTTATAAAAAAATAAAATTTAAAAAAGAAAAAAAGTAGTGGCAGCCAGCACAACAATCATAGAGGCCTAAAATAAAATTTGAGAGAGACTTTTATATATCATAAAGAAAAAAAACTATATGCTCGACTTTTTACTAATATATGTGACCCATTTTATTTTACAAAATTTGATAGCAAATAGTTTTTAGTTAGTTGGCATAAAGCTCATGTTTTAGTCGCCTTGGACCGTCATAAATAATAATCTAGAACTACAAAAGATGGTTCCCACAAGAATCATTCATTCCTCTTGATGCCCATTAGAAAATTATCAAACTATCACACACATATATGTACAGCTAATACAGAAGCGAAGGAAAAATAATCAAATTAGCAAACTATCTTACCGTGAAAAGACTTCGATGGCCAACAGCTAAATTGTGGAGATAATCGTGCCAACACTAGCAACCTTGCCCCAAAATTCCTGCAGAGATGCAAAATCAAGGAGAATCAAAGCATTGGGGTTCATCAAAGCTACCTTAGATTGAAAATTAAGCTACGATTCAGCAATTGAGCAAGAACGAAACAAAGAATAAAGGTTCGATAGAGAGAGGGAAGCTACGAATTTCAGTGTTAGGTTTCATCGAAACTACCTTAGATTGAGAGAGAACTACAATACACAGATTCAATGATTGAGATGAGGATTTGGTTAGCGGTTTTGGCGAAGAGTAGCATGAGTGAAGCTACGAGGCATTGCATTTTTTGGTTACAGTTTTCAACTTAAAATCCATATGATAAGAGAATGATTTCGGATCTTGAAACAGGTATAAATTTTAGATCAGAGTAAAAATTCCAATCCATTAAAAGATTTAAAATGGAATTGGACCGGATTGGCTGATAGAGTTTTTGCCCAGGTCTAACATTGGGAAATGAAAAGTTTGAAAAATTCACATATGCCAACAACCTATATATAACTGTATAATTAGTTGCATAATGCTAAATCTCACCCACACCCATACAAACACATGGGAAGAGATAACTCGAGAGTTGAGACAACTTTACCTGTTTGATGTTTGAATCAATGAAACAAAGCAGTCACTTTTATCCTGATTACAATCAAAACCCATCTGTGACAATGGTAGGTGTCTATTAAATGGAATTCGTAGGAGACATGCCAATCAAACAGTACACTATAGTCTACGGAACAAGATATATCCCAAAAGATATGACTCTTCAAGCTATAAAACTTGCAATTTCTCTGCCTTCCTAAACCAGCATGGCAGTCATTTCTTCATGATACAGAAACTGAGGTGTCCCTAAAAATTTCCAGGGATTTAAACTTTATATTAACTTGCTTCTGAAATATGTCATAAATATGACATCAAAGAATTATAATAATGTCAGTAGCCTAAAATGCATCAGGAAACCAGATGTAGCAGCTTCATTATGTGCTTAACTGTAATGAAATGCTTGCCTCCACATATTTGTCAAATTAGCTTGATGAGAAAGTATTATCAGAAACAAATGGTCACATCCTCGTCACTTTCTGTGTACATCTCGTCTCGTCTCAAAGTATTACGAGTTGTTCTATTGACAATCATAATATTTGCCAATTCTTGAATTGCACAGGAAGTGCTCTGCCTCATCTTATCAGCCAGTATTTCAATGTGATCTAGAAACCCTAAACCCAAGAGCCGATTCCTCAGCAACTCAACAGTAGCAACATAAGGTGGTATTCCTTCATCAATCATTATTTCAAAATACTTACATGCCTCCTCTAGCTTTCCCTTCTTCTTACAAAATCCATGAATCATGACAGAATATGTAGAGACGGAAGGATAAAAAATTTTGCCCCCCATGTTCTCCCAAACTTCAGTCACCTTATCAAACCTTCCTATCCTAATCAGCAATTTGAGCACCATGTTATATGTATGGCGATCAGGAAGACAGTTATCTTTTTCCATTCTAAACATTAACCTTAGGGCCCTATTGACCTCACAATGGTCACAATGGTAAGCTTGTATTGCATTATAACTCCAAGTGTCTGGTTTTACTCCTCTTGAAATCATTTCATCCAACAATTGATAAGCTTCTTCCACGTGTTCGTTCTTACAAAGTCGTTTTATAATACAATTGTATGTAAAAACATTAGGCAAAAGGTTGTACCTTCTCATTTTATCAAGAACCCTGAAAGCTGATTGCACATCATTTGCATCACAATATGAGTGAATGAATATTGAATAAGTAAAAGCATCTGGTTCAACTCCTTTTGACAACATATCATGAAAAGTATTTTTAGCTTCATCCACACGACCTCCTTTGCAAAGAGCCTTTAATAAATTGTTATAGACAAGCAAGTCCACTGGACATCCATGTTCAAGCATTGCTTGAAACAGCTCACAGGCTTTCTCTGAATCACCAATGTCACCCCATCCACTTATCAAAATACTGTAAGTTTTAGCAGTTAATGAGAAACGACTCTTAGCTTGATCAAAAAATTGTTGAGCCTGCTTGACGTGCTTCCTTTTGCATAAAATGTACAAAAGCTTATCAACATCATGAATAGTTGGCTTAATTCCAAATTCAATCATTCTATTGAAAGACCGAATTGCACCATCAGGCAAATTAGCTCGGCTATATGCCTTGAAAATGCGCCAGAAAATTTCATTGTTGATTTCATAATGACAAGAGTCTCTCATTTCTATGAGAAAATCCCAGAGTATGGCAAACTCCTTGCAACTTCCCAAGATTTCGACCAAAATGTGGAAGCTCGTAACACTGTGGTGAAAACCTGGAATTGATTTAGCCCAAAGAAAAAATCGGTGGGCTGAGAAGCCAAGATTCTTGCACCTCTTCAAGACCTGTTCAACCAAATTTGAGGATATTTGTTCTGAAAATGGATTGAGAGAAAGTTCTAAATCATGGTGAGGGTATCGGTGATCGCTGAGTAAACGAGATATATCATTCACAAGGTCTGGTAATAATGGACCATGGAAAGAGCAAAAGCGATGGTAGCTGGGCTTGTGTTGGACAAGAGTGAGGAAAGAGGGTAGGATTCTATACTTGGAAAAGAGTGACTGAAAAGCCATTTTGGACAGCAATGATTCAACTTCTCTAAACCACCTTCAATCCATAGTTGTTTGCAACAGCCGGACACCACCACCGTCGATCTGCGTCGTCCAGAGGTGCCTCCATAGCGGCGCTGTTCTCTGTCACCTCAAAGCTGCATTCTGCTTTCCCCATTTGCACTCTAAGCTTCGAGGATGTGAAGAGGGATAATGTGTTAGGGTTCAGGGCAGTATTGGGCCAATAGGCCCAACGTTTTTTTAAGTTTTACTTTGTCGGAACTCTGTAATATAATATAAAAAATAAATAATAATAATAATAATAATAATAATAGTAGTGATAGAAATATAATAAATTATTTAAAGCATAGCATTTAATATAATAAACTATGTAATAGTAATAAATAAAAAAAACTAAAGAAAACAAAACAAATAATTATGAATTTCATTTGCATTAATCTATTCATTATGTTTTGAAATTTTTTTGTAAAAAATATTTTTAACGTATGGTTTATTTTTTTATTATAATTATGAATTTCATTTAAATTTATTAATATTGTAATTTAGATTATTTTTTATTTAATTTATGTTATTTTTATATATTATTATATATAAGTAAGTAAGCATGTAAAATCATATGATCCTAGTTACAATCAAGTTATAAATTTTTACCTCTTTCTCGATCTTAATTTTAATGTCATTGTATAATATTAATTATAAGAAAAATGATACAGCGTCCGAATTCATCATTCTGAAAAACATTCCGAAACATTAAAATATTAATTTAAATTATAAAATATTAAATTAAATAATTATTTTATAATAAATTTATTAAAAAATATTAATATTTTAACTTTCGGATGATGATTCGGAAAAGGATTCGGAGGATGTATCTTCACTCTAATTATAAGCAATAAATTAATTTTTTCTCTTATTTTAATTATAAATAGCAATTATTAGATTTTAAAATTGTATAATGTTGTTTAGATAAGAAATTTTAAAAATTTAAAGAATTTGAAATTTTTGAAATTTAAAGATTTTAATTTTTATTATTATTTTAATTTTTTATTTGATAATTAAATTTAAATTTTAAAATTTTAAATTCTTAATTTAGATATGATAATTTAATTTTAATTATGGATAAATTATCTTTTATATATATATATATATTGAGATTTTAAGATTAAAATTTATTAAAATAATAATAATTAATGAATTTAAAAACAAAATTAAAAACATAATCTAGCACCTTATCATACAATTATAGGATGCAAGTCCCTGACAATGATACCATTTACTTGATATGCATTTGACAAGTATACCAATTATCATAAGTAATAAATTGGATAGAAATTCAAGTTATTGAATTCATAGGATATATATATATATATGAAATCCGATCATGTTAGAGGTAAACATTCAACAAAAGGGAGCTTACAGAGAGTCCAAGAAACAAAATTAACACTGCAATGACAGAAAATTGAAGAACAAAATATATATTAAGTAACATTGCAGTTCAAGGTTAAGCTTCCAATCCTTTTTTACCTTCTTAACTAAAGGGTAATAATCAAGTTCTAAGGAAAAACGAGAGTACAAAATATTCATAAAGCCTTAAAAGTTTTAATTTAATGTAATTTAAACAAAATAAATTTAATACCAAATATAATATTAAAAATAAATTAAAGAAAAAATTAAAAATATAAAAAAATTATAAGTATAATAACTAATCGCGCCTCATCCATCTGTACCACATGACTCGAGTCTCTGATGTTCTTCCTCAATTGTGAAACGTGAAACATGTTCTCCCTCTTCAAACTCTAGAGGTCTCCTTTTCCTATCAGCTAGGACTTTTGTCGACTTTGGGTAGCCCTCAACTTTTCCTGAGTCTATCTCACCATCCCAGTAGTCTAAAGAACTAACTCTGAATCAACCACTACTAACTCACCCTCCTGATACCAATATAATGGAATCCTACACCTCCTTCCATACAAAGCCTCAAAAGGCATCGTGCCAAGCATCTGATCAAGTAGAGTCAACAACACAAACAAAGAATAGGAGGCTAAAAAGTGTTGTGTGGCAACATTTTGAAAAGATTAGAATTGATGGAAAGGATAAAGCTAAATGTAACTATTGTAACAAATTGCTTGGAGGAGAAGCGAGGAATGGAACAAAGCACTTGCACCACCATTTAGATATATGTGTTTTAAAGAA